AAGTAAACTAATGTATTTTGAAAGCAATAGGCTTTGAAATAAAGTAGATATGAGAGGTCGTAGTTCTGTTGCGAATAAGATAATTACAATTAATACAGGTGTTGGAAAAAAGAAAGGATATTGCTTATTAAATTTCATGTCTATTTCTCATATGATTTCAGAAAAAAATCAATAGCTTTGAATGTATGAAAGAAATATAGTAGGAGATAATTTAGGAAAGATGTGCGTTACTGACATGACTCTGAGATTAGACTAAGAGAGCTTGGTGCCATAGACGTTACATTTCATAAAGTTGTGAAATAAAAATGTCTTGGTAATTTACCCGCAAAATACATAACGCCTGCCTCGTCACATGTACTTAAAATGGTGTTTGACATCATATCTAGTATAAACTGTACGTACCAGGCATTTGTTAACTTCATGACAAATTGGAAATAATAAGCCTTTCGACCCGAGAAAATTTTGTTGAGGATAAAGTATAATGTATATTGAATAGATTTGATCACGTGTACATGTTTCTATTGTGTGGCTTGATCAGGTGTAACACGGAGTAGGATAATACAGATAAATAATACTAGTGATTAAGAGGCCATTTCAGGATAGGTGTTAATATATATTCTCTACGTCATAATCATTAGTAGTATTGCATCATAAATCTACAATAGTGAATATCTCCATATATAATGGAAAAATATTCCGGCACAGAAAATTGGATTTTTATATCAATTTTTAAGCATTTCAGTTATTAAGTCTTTAACCAATTTACAAATGAGTTTTTCTCTTGAATTGGAGGGTATGGATTAACACAGTGTTGAACTGATGCTTGAAAGACGTAGATATACATTGTATTTGTTACATAAGACAAGATGATTCGGATGTACATAGGAATACTTCATTATCAGGAATTCTTTTCGCTGTTCTCTATTTGTCTTCGTAAGTTGACGTAGTCCAAAACAAAAAAATATCTATCTTATTTTCTTATTTTTTTTACATTTCTAGTGGATCACCAACATGCTGTGCTATAAGAGAAAATATCTTTTTTAAGAAACTTTACTTATTCATCAATCGATTGCCTTGTTATTTAGTGAACATACAATATCATATTTTACTTATAACACAAGTGTAGTATAGCTTATTGTGAAGTCATGTTAGTTAATAAAGTGACGTCACACACTCACAGTTGGCATTGTGACGTAACAATGGAGATCATAGATAAAGAGCTAAAATGATTAACATTAGATTTGATTTAGGAAACTCGCCACAGGCTCGCTAAACTGATTTTTAGACTAGTTTCATAAATCCGCTTATTAAACGATTGCCTTTTTCGATTAATATATTCATGCTATATTTTTGCATATTACAAATATGAAGTATAGATTGTTGTGGCGTCACTTAATACAATCAAATGACGTCACATATTCACACATGGCATTGTGACGTAGAAATGGAAACCATAGCTATAAAGGATGTAGAATTGTCAATTTTCTATCATATATCTGCTTGAAAAAAAGAAGTCACGTGATTCGAAGGATCTTAATCTTTTTTCCATTTTTAATGTGTGATTAATGGAACTCGTGACAACTTTATTTATCATGTATGGCTATTTTAGGGTCATTATTAAGATAGATCTCTTAAGGAGTGTCATAGTGTATAAATGTGTAAATGACCAAGTGCCTTAATAGCTCTGTAAAAAGTTTCAATGTTTTTCCTTGAAACAACACCATGTACAAGAGCTGCCTCTAATAACGCTATTAAATATCAAATTACGTAATGCATTTTTCCAAACCAGAAGGTCGTTTTTGGAACAACCTACCTGTGAAAGCACGCCTTACTAATCCCCCGTACTTTCAATGAAGATGTAACTTCAGAGAGCAGTTTTACCAGGTACATGTAGGCCTATTTTACATCAGAATTTTTCTCTTGACTTGCCATCCTGGTAAGGCGTTAAGTTTTTATTAACAACAACAGGAAAACAGGTTATTCCATTTCATCAATCGTTATGGCTAGGATAGAAGAACTTGAGGTGTTTTACTGTGGAGGCAAGCTGGAGTGCCCTAGGAAAACCCACTGTCGTGTACCCGTTAAGGAATGGTCTTTTCAAGACGGTCAAAAAATGTAGCTGCTCATTTCAAGCTAAAAATTCTACGTCCGCCATCTTGAAAAGACCATGCCTTGAAGGGACATGACAACAATCTCCTCCCGAACGTCCAGTTTGCATCAGGCCTTGTTTCTCTGATAATTTCAATGTAATTACACTTAATGCTTGTTTCAATGCGCAACTGGTTTTAATCAACCTATTTTACTAACCGATTAACCTTCGACCCAGAGCTTTATTAGACAGGTGTCTATCCTCACATGAAGTATCAGCGATGAAAAAATCGGAGTTTTAACAAGTGGGTTTCATTTCTCATGCATTTCAAATTTGCATATACAATGATGTATAATGATTGACTACTCCCTCAGATTATCTTTTACTCTAAACAAAAAAAATAATTTCAGTGAATGTTTTTAGGGTTGTTATTACTTTATATGTATTTTGTTCTTTGATACATAAATTAGAGGGTAATATTACGATTCAAAGTGTATCTTGTACTATTTAGGTCATCTCAGTACGTTTTCTTTATGAATGGCCCTGTCTTATACACACCCCTGGTTTTATAAATATGTGTATAGTATGATCCCACGGTGTGGTCACGTTTTTTACCGCTCAAGTTTAGAATTAGCGTGAGAAAAATACAGTCCTGGTTCATTGTAATGAAACATTCCTTATAAGGGTATTGTGTGTTTTTGCATCATCATCAAAGAGTCAGTCGAATAGGAGAGAAAGAAGAAAGGTGTTTGTTTCCACGGCTTTATAAAGTATTTGGTTCACATGTACGTGAATACAGTTCAGCTGGGTATCCGTGTGTATTTCTTCTTTGTTTGTGTATTGAAATGGCGGAAGCGATAAAGAATTCGTGGAAACTTTTCGAAAATGAATTTAAACGCAAAATCTAAATTCACTTTAATAGTATGTAACTAACCATGTTTAAGTCAGATTTTTTCTTCAAATTGCTATATGAGGAAGTTGTGTGTGTATATGAAGGAGCCAAGGATTATTGATAAGCAGTGCTAAGGGGATAGATTTTTCCATTCTTGTTTGATTTTGTCAGAGATCTGTTTTTGTATTTCCTTGTGTGTGACTATACACCTCGACCTCTGAAGATAAGAAACTTTTCATGTAGGTTGTAAATTTGTTTGTGTAACATGTCGACTGTAATAAATAGAAGTTATTTTAAGAACTAGCGTTACCGTGTTTTATCAATAAACAAGCAGACATGTCCCCTTTTAGACCTGTCCATTCAAGGTGTCGTGATGTAAGGGTTATTTACAGATAAAAGATGTTTTTCAGTATCGATACCCCTTAAAAGTTTCATGGCCCCACTTTGTCCACGATAAGGGATTTAGAAAAGATGCAATACATAGATTTACTTCTGATGTACGTCATACAGGTTACTAAAACACTTGCTTGCTGGTGTATCGCCTCGTGAGCAGAAAGGTACACTTTGAGGATGTCTTTGAGGTAGCTGGTGGCTACCTCACTGAACAACATGCGGGAAGCCCGTAGTATGGCATTCAAAACAACTAGGATGTCTTGCCCATGGACACAATCATGTCAGCTCCTCAGCGTCCTATGAAACACAAATTGCGACGAGTTGTGAGCGTTACACCAAGCACTTCGGATCTTAAGTTGAAGTTATGAAGGCAAACGCTCTAGTTTATCTATTTACTTTTCATCAGATGATGGATCTGTTAATTTACCATCGAATGATTTGAAAAGAATGTCAAGTACAGGTGTGTACCGTTTAAGCAGTCATTTCTGATAATGTGATCATCAACAGTAGCCACGACACCTGCTGACGTCAAACACTATTACCTTTTCAAATCGTTACTGCCAATTCATAACTCAAATCCACGAAAGGGATTTACAATCAGATAAATTTACTAGATATCTCTGACTGGGTAAACACTCGAAGCTTACATTCCATTGCTGACTTAACATAAATCATGTGTTCGGTTCATTTTCAGTCGTAAACTCTTCTTCCGATGTGTCCATTCATAAAAAATTGGGACGTTAGCCAATATTGCTGAAATATACAATGGGTCATCGGGTGCAATTGCGATTGGACCGAATAAGACTTTCAAACCTTATATTCCTCAGCTTTCAGAAATTTACAAACTACAATAAATGTAGACTAGTTTTTCCCGCCAGTTATAAGCTTTTCATGGAAGTTTGATATTAGATTCGATGTATCCCAAAAGTTGTACTTTGTATAGTTTTAGGTCTCGTGCGTTTTCAATATAGAATAATGTTTGTACATACCTGTCTATCTTACAGAACAGATGCCAATCACTGTATCCTTACTCGCGTCACACGTCATAATTATACCCATGGATACCGCGGAGTTAAAGTGGTCAGAATGGATGTTTGATTACCTGCTTTAACTCAAAATAGAATGTAAATCAAACGAACATATTACCAGAGCTACCTAAATACAGAATATTTACAAATGTAGGCTATATACGTGACATTGGTGTTCTGGTTATCATCGGAATTCAAACCTTTATCTTCCCGACATTTTCAATTGTCTATTAAAAACAATGCAAAAAAAATATTTTCGTCTTTTTCATCCGTAATAAAATCTAAACAGAACATATAATGAACATTATTACAAAAGCAACAAAATCTACAGAGCGGAAACTGTAGCAAGTCTACTCTCAATTTATACACACGTAAAAGCGCGTATACATATTGCTGGTGAAACGGACACTTCTGGGGCACATGTAGGGCAAAATAGAGTGTTTAGAAATAGAAATAAAACAAGTATAAGATTTACATATTTATATATATATCACTATAAAGTACAAATAATGAAATGCTATTGTCTAATCACGTAAACATTTAGATATGATTGGCCGCGGAAATATATTTGGTAAGTTTTGAACCTATTAGACCCCCTTCCAGGCGCGTGCATGAGAAGAAGAGGCTGCGTTTTCAAGGATAAAGATTTCCAATGGCTAGCACAGATGATACGGGGGATACAGAGGTATGTGTGTTAGGGTGTGTGTGTAAAGTTTTTTATCGTCTTTTTTATTTATAGTTTATAATTAGGCTGAATAATCTACCCGCTGTTTATCATACCATTTCATTCCTCTTCTCATTTCGTCCTAGACTTGCTCAGGTTCTAAACCTTATAACGATGTCTCGCGTCTTCTACATTTTGTCTCATTTTACGTCGATAGAGACGTCCTCTAACCTACAGTGATTATAACCCGTCATTATTTTCGCACACGTGTCTATATTCCTCGTATTTGTGTAAGAAATGTATTCGATTTGAAAGGGTGAAGCGTTATAACTGGGATGAACACGGTAAATATGTCTATAGTGTTATGTGTGTTTGTGTGCAGCCTGTCGGGTGAGATAACCAGCTATCAACATGGTGATACTGTACAGTTGTCTTACAGTATACACAACCTACACTGAATGTACTTCTACACTTACACAGTCCTTAGTTCTTAACGACCACATGTATATATATATATATATAGATACAAAGATACGAGAAGTGCTGACTACTGACAAGTCAACATTCTTTTCGATGTTAATTGAAAATAAATGCAATTTTTTAACGAATTGTTTATAATTTTACATGTTACTTCTACCCAGTTTTTAATCATTTCTCGGAAAACACGGATATGATTTGAGGTCGATAACAAGAAATGTATTATAATGAAGTAAGAATATCAAAATATAATTATACCTTACTGATGTTTTCTCTCTTTTTTCCTAATCAATACAACGTGTTATTTAAAACTGGAATTACTTATTTGGCGTGGAGATTCTAGGTAACCTTTATGCATATATTGTGATATAAATTTACAGTGCATTTAACCCAGGCCGATTTCAATACTGCATTCCCTTGTATTCGGTTACTACGTAAAATTATGCGCATGGAACATTTAAAGTAAATGATAGAACTAAAATCCAAGCCATCTCTGTAGTTAGATTAAGTTTTCCATGACATCTATATCGTTAAAAGAATGGTAATTTTAAGAGTCTTTGGGCTGTTTCTATTCACGTAAGGAAGTTTCAAGTGGTTTCCTGTGTATTAGGTGAAAAGTTGTACCTTGAGCTCTTGGAAATATCTCTTCAGGAAGTTTCTGACGAGCAAGTGTCGAGACAAAATTTGAGATTAAAAAAAAAACCGGTTTGATAAATTAAAACACTTCCTCTCTGATAAGTCATGTACAGGAATGAATGAAAAATGAACACTATCTTCATCAAGTTAAAAGATGAAATTGGCCCTAGAAACTGGGTATTTTTTCCTGTATCCTAAATGTACCAAATGGTATGTTTCCCTGAATTGGTCTATGGCGCGTGACAACAGCAGGCCTCTCTCTTGCCGCCTACACGAACGTGCGAGATCGAATCCCAAAAAGCAAAGAGTGTTTTCGCCTTAATATGATATGTCACTAACCTAGTGTAGATTATCCACCATTCCACAGCTGACATAGTGGTGAGTTGATCAGACCACAGGGAGTTGTTCCTATCACCCAGAATAAAAATTCAACCCCAGTGTCCAGCCCCTATTAAGTAATCTGGGATCGGTCCTGGGGTTTAGGTTCTCATTCAGAGTACTGGGAACATGCCGATCCCCTGTGAATCGGGCAATTACACTCGCTTATTTTAAAGGATATATCGAAAGAAGACGAGAAATATCTCGACTTCTGCAAATCGTCCTTTTAAAGGGGAAACAATTAAAATATGAATGGATAAGGGCGTAGTTGACAAATTGTATCCTTTTCTGGACCTACGTTCATACTTAAAGTTGAAATATCGATAAAAAATTAACTATCCGTTCTTTTCAGAGAACTAAAGAAATAGAAGGAGACAGTGACCAAGATGAGGATGGTGGCGAGAAAAGAAAAACAGAATGGACTGCTGAGTCCTTACAGCGCCTTCTAGCGGACGCCATCACTTATAAATCTTCGTTGACAGATATCAATGTGATTTTACGCTGTGGTGCAAATGTGAACGGTAAAGTGAAGAAGGGACTCCGACCTCTACATTATGCAGCCTTCGTTGATTATGTAGACTGTGTTGAATTTCTTATTGAGAAGGGTGCAGTTGTGAATGTGACAGACGATATCGGATACACGCCTCTACATCTGTGTGCACGTAGAGGATTCGTCAATACTTTAAGAGTTCTCATCGATCATGGAGCTGTCCTCAATTTCTGTGATTCTGACGAAGAATGTGAGGTCGATGACTCGTCCAAGAATCTTGGCTACTTCACTCTCGAGCCACTTAATATGGCTATTGAAAGTAGTCATGTGGAATGCGTACGTCTGATGCTCGAAAAAGGCGCGAAACCAAATAACAAATATTTCATGGGTTATGAAGTGAATTTGGTGTCTCTCGACAACTTGGAGTGCCTCGAACTTTTATTAAAGTATGGAGGTGACCCGAATGCATTCAGTCGGGTTGGTTTAACTCCTCTTATGAAAGCATGTACAGAAGGTAGATACGAAGCTACGGATTTACTTATTAGATATGGAGCTGATATACATATTGCCAGTCCAGCTCGGTTCGATCACAAAACCCCCATTTATTATGCAGTTCAGGGAGGAAACATAGCTGTGATACAGTATCTCCTGGAACATGGTGCCAGTCTGTCAAAAATAGAGGATTTCAAATACGCACCACTGCACATGGCAGTGATATCTGACAGGAAGGAGGTATGCGAACTGTTATTGGAATGGCGGGCGGAAGTTGACGTCAGATCAGACGACAGTGGTACGCCTTTAATGTTGGCGTGTGCCACTCCCGGCTTAAAGGAACGAAAAGCCATCATTGAGGTATTGTTAAAACATGGAGCATGTGTCAATGCTCATTCTCCGTATGTTAGTTATACGGATCCGTGCTTATCTCCCCTTACAGAATACATCAAGAACAATAGGTATGATATAGAATATGACATCATCCATTTGTTGATTAAGTATGGCGGACGAGTAAGTTTCCAGGGTGATATGACGGTGTTCAGACTAAAAGATCCTTTCGGTATTCTCAACCACGTTATGAATGTGGAAGCTGAAAAGGACATTTTCATGCTTCTGATTGAAGCAGCATCGGCGTACGACCTGTCGGATATAACAAGTGCGGACATGTTACTTTCCTCCGACAAAAAACTACTGAAGAAGACGGCGAGAAAACCAAGAGAACTGAAGCATCTAGTCCGTCTGCTTATAAGAGAACATTTTTCTTCTCACCTACCAGAAAAGGTTCAGAAACTTCCCCTGCCAAAGCTCATCAAATCCTATTTGCTTTTTGACGTGTAAATGTTCCTCAGCTTTTAACCAATGAAACCGTTCGCCAAGTCAAACGTTTAGAAAGAAAACGATGCCGTTTTCAAATTGTATAAAGTCGGATTAGTCTCCTGAAAGTTTTCAATAACTGCAAATTTCGTCGTTTCTTATCTCGATGTGGCTCTGTTACGTGTGTACAACATAAATATTTAACAAAACAATTATAAATGTCGGCTTTTAAAAAATTGGATGATCTTATATAACAATAAGTTAGAAATATTTATGTGTGACGTTTCGGTGACTTAACTGATACCGGCTTCATCAGATGAGTTGCTAGTGTCCAACCTTACAGCTTTACCTTTATCAAATTTATAACGACAGTGTCTAATTTTAGTGTACATAGGCCAATGATACAGTATCAGACATTATGTTCTTCAGTAACCATCTCACACACTGTATTCGTTAGTGCTAATATGTTTCACACTGGTCATTTGTCTGATGAATCTATAGTCGCGGAAACATCGCACCTGGATTTCTGCTGGACGTGACGTCAGAACTTAATTGATTTGTTTCCAATATTAAAATTTATTTTATCTTACAACAATAGTATTTTTTACTCTTTTTTTTTTTATCGAAATCTACTTTCATAACCATGATTTCCATGGCATCTCGGTGGATGGTGGGAAAATATCCAGAGTATAACGATATAAACCATATTCGTTATTCCAACTCAAGGAGTATGTAACTATAACATTGATTAAGGGTACTATTTGCACGCAGTATATATATCCATGTCTGAATCAACCGGCATCACGCGAAACCTGGTAAAACCTTGTGAAATGACTGCGAAAAAGATTTTCCAAACCCTTCAACTGCATCGATGCGGAAAGCAGGCTTTTAACTATCTTGAAATGGAAAAATAACAAAATTGAAGACAACGTACTTATTATACATTGTTGTGTAAAATCGAGCGGTTGTAGTAGAACATGTGCAGTATGATACTATACACATGTACCATCCTGTATCATACTATACACATGTACCATCCTGTATCATACTATACACATGTACCATCCTGTATCATACTATACACATGTACCATCCTGTATCATACTATACACATGTACTGTATATATACTATACACATGTACTGTATCATACTATACACAGGTACTGTATCATACTATACACATGTACTGTATCATACTATACACATGTACCATCCTGTATCATACTATACACATGTACTGTATCATACTATACACATGTGCCAACCTGTATCATACTATACACATGTACTTTATCATACTATACACATGTACCGTATCAGACTATACACATATACAATCCTGTATCATACTATACACATGTACTGTTTCATACTATACACATATACCATCCTGTATCATACTATACACATGTACTGTATCATACTATACACATGTACTGTATCATACTATACACAGGTACTGTATCATACTATACACATGTACTGTATCATACTATACACATGTATCATCCTGTATCATACTATACACATGTACCATCCTGTATCATACTGTACACATGTACCATCCTGTATCATACTATACAAATGTGCTGTAGCATACTATACACATGTACCATCCTGTATCATACTATACACATGTACTGTATCATACTATACACATGTACCATCCTGTATCATACTATACACATGTACTGTATCATACTATACACATGTACCATCCTGTATCATACTATACACATGTACTGTATGATACTATACACATGTACCATCCTGTATCATACTATACACATGTACCATCATGTATCATACTATACACATGTACTGTATCATACTATACACATATACCATCCTGTATCATACTATACACATGTACCATCCTGTATCATACTATACACATGTACTGTATCATACTATACACATGTACTGTATCATACTATACACATGTACTGTATCATACTATACACATGTATTGTATCACACTACACACATGTACCATCCTGTATCATACTATACACATGTATCATCCTGTATCATACTATACACATGTACTGTATCATACTATACACATGTATCATCCTGTATCATACTATACACATGTACTGTATCATACTATACACATGTACCATCCTGTACCATACTATACACATGTACCATCCTGTATCATACTATACACATGTACTGTATCATACTATACACATATACCATCCTGTATCATACTATACACATGTACCATCCTGTATCATACTATACACATATATCATACTATACACATGTACTGTATCATACTGTACACATGTACCATTAAATATTATTGCATGCACATGTGCAAGAACATATTGTTCACTCAAAACAAAATACATCCATATCGACCAGAGTATATAGTACTAAGACATTATTATATTTTACAAATTTTTTCATCAGTATACATTACTGTAATTTAATCATGTGTGATACAATCGTTTATTAAATACCTTTCTCCCTCGTCATACAGATTATCACTGTGTCAATAATAATAACAAATATATTGCTACGTCTGTTTAATCTAAGAGAACCTTAGGACTTGTTTGTTTCTGGGTTTCCCTATATAAGACCTGATCAAGTCTAAACGCTGTAGGTAAGAACCTGGTTAAAATCGAAAATTACATGTTCAGATGAGAGACAATACTGACGGCTGAATGCATAGGAATGTTAATAAAGGTGAAGGTTACTAAATAAAAATTAAATAAGAATAGAATTAAAATTTTCAAGTTTAAATATGTTATCGCGCTTTTCACATGGTTTTTGTATATTAATTGAAACCAAAGAGAGTCTGTCTCAGCATATTTCTTCCATATATCGAACAATATCTAAATAATAGGTTTATACTATACAAAATTAATCAACAAACAATTATTAGAATGTTGTATTGATGACGGACACAAAATACACACGGTATACTTATCATGTTCACTACAAATTCTGCTAGTGTGGTCATTTTGATAAACATGATTGTATGTGAAAAAAACAATTATTAGAATGTTGTATTGATGACGGACACAAAATACACACGGTATACTTATCATGTTCACTACAAATTCTGCTAGTGCGGTCATTTTGATAAACATGATTGTATGTGAAAAAAACAATTATTAGAATGTTGTATTGATGACGGACACAAAATACACACGGTATACTTATCATGTTCACTACAAATTCTGCTAGTGTGGTCATTTTGATAAACATGATTGTATGTGAAAAAAACAATTATTAGAATGTTGTATTGATGACGGACACAAAATACACACGGTATACTTATCATGTTCACTACAAATTCTGCTAGTGTGGTCATTTTGATAAACATGATTGTATGTGAAAAAAACAATTATTAGAATGTTGTATTGATGACGGACACAAAATACACACGGTATACTTATCATGTTCACTACAAATTCTGCTAGTGTGGTCATTTTGATAAACATGATTGTATGTGAAAAAAACAAGATCAATCATTCGTATCGAAAAATATCTTTTAAACTTGCTGATGTTGTCCTCTTCAGTTCGTCAAACACAATGCATTTCAAATGCACGATAAAACACCACTTTCAAAAAATTTGAACGGAGTACCAGAGTAGCATCCACTATCGCATTCAAAAAATATTTAGGTCTGCGGCTCGATAAACTACCTTATAAGTTATCCCTGTCGCGTGTTAGTGCCTTTTTTATTTAGAAAGAGGCAACGCTATCACGTGAGTCTGAAATAACAACACATTTATTTGGTTTCCAGAATTCATCATACTCATGTTCAATACCTCTCGCCATATCATAAGTAAAGTCTGTGTTGTTCTTTTCACTTTGGTTGTCAGGTTTCAATACTGATCTTTCTTCGTGATGCGTCTTGTCTTTTCTTCTATGTTCAGGGACGACTTTCGCGTGGTCGTATAAGTCCGGTTCGACGTTTTTTCCTGCCTTTAGAATGCTGAACGAATCATATTCGTTTCCTACTGATGAGCCCGAGTCTTTGATATGATTTCTTTGACCTCCTGTTTCGGTATCGTTACTAGTTTCCAAAGTATTGTCCCTCTCCTGATCTACACTGCTACACGAAGGTAGGTCAATTGGAACACTGGAGAGACAACTTGATAAAATTCTGGCTGCACCGGGGTCTTTACACGGCAGGGGACATTCTACAGTCAGATTTCGACACGACACCATCTGGCTGTCCTCTTCATCTTCAATTTCTTCAAATTCATAAATGTTTTCATCGTGTTTTTCTCGATCATTTGGTGGTATATTCACCTTGGACTCAGATGGTGTCTTATGTTCTGGTACGAGTATTCCCTTTTGTAACAGTATATGTTTCTCATTTCTCTTTGTTCTACAAAAACATATAAATGAGGTAAGATATCAGGAAAGAAGTCTTCTTTTTCATTCTATCAATAGTAATAACGTATAATTATGTATATCTGAAAATCTCAAACCGTTTGAATATAACAGTATAACTCGATACACACTTCAAATTGTCAGGTTCTCAAAGAATGTTGGACTAGACCGAACATCTAGGATGTAGTCTATAATGATGGACTAGACCTAACATCTAGGATGTTGACCTATAATGATGGACTAGACCTAACATCTAGGATGTAGTCCTATAATGATGGACTAGACCTAACATCTATGATGGACTAGACTTAACATCTAGGATGTAGACCTATAATGATGGACTAGACCGAACATCTAGGATGTAGACCTATAATGATGGACTAGACCTAACATCTAGGATGTAGACTATAATGATGGACTAGACCTAACATCTAGGATGTAGACCTATAATGATGGACTAGACCTAACATCTAGGATGTAGTCTATAATGATGGACTAGACCTAACATCTAGGATGTAGACCTATAATGATGGACTAGACCTAACATCTAGGATGTAGACCTATAATGATGGACTAGACCTAACATCTAGGATGTAGTCTATAATGATGGACTAGACCTAACATCTAGGATGTAGTCTATAATGATGGACTAGACCTAACATCTAGGATGTAGACCTATAATGATGGACTAGACCTAACATCTAGGATGTAGTCTATAATGATGGACTAGACCTAACATCTAGGATGTAGTCTATAATGATGGACTAGACCTAACATCTAGGATGTAGTCTATAATGATGGACTAGACCTAACATCTAGGATGTAGACCTATAATGATGGACTAGACCTAACATCTAGGATGTAGTCTATAATGATGGACTAGACCTAACATCTAGTCTATAATGATGGACTAGACCTAACATCTAGACCTATAATGATGGACTAGACCTAACATCTAGGATGTAGACCTATAATGATGGACTAGACCTAACATCTAGGATGTAGACCTATAATGATGGACCTAACACTAGGATGTAGACCTATAATGATAACATCTAGGATGTAGTCTATAATGATGGACTAGACCTAACATCTAGGATGTAGTCTATAATGATGGGACCTAACACTATAATGATGGACTAGACCTAACATCTAGGATGTAGTCTATAATGATGGACTAGACCTAACATCTAGGATGTAGTCTATAATGATGGACTAGACCTAACATCTAGGATGTAGACCTATAATGATGGACTAGACCTAACATCTAGGATGTAGACCTATAATGATGGACTAGACCTAACATCTAGGATGTAGTCCTAACATCTAGGATGTAGTCCTATAATGATGGACTAGACCTAACATCTAGGATGTAGTCCTATAATGATGGACTAGACCTAACATCTAGGATGTAGTCTATAATGATGGACTAGACCTAACATCTAGGATGGACTAGACCTAACATCTAGGATGTAGACCTATAATGATGGACTAGACCTAACATCTAGGATGTAGACCTATAATGATGGACTAGACCTAACATCTAGGATGTAGACCTATAATGATGGACTAGACCTAACATCTAGGAGTCTATAATGATGGACTAGACCTAACATCTAGGATGTAACATCTAGGATGTAGACCTAACATAATGATGGACTAGACCTAACATCTAGGATGTAGTCTATAATGATGGACTAGACCTAACATCTAGGATGTAGTCTATAATGATGGACTAGACCTAACATCTAGGATGTAGTCTATAATGATGGACTAGACCTAACATCTAGGATGTAGTCTATAATGATGGACTAGACCTAACATCTAGGATGTCTATAATGATGGACTAGACCTAACATAATGTCTATAATGGACTAGACCTAACATCTAGGATGTAGTCTATAATGATGGACTAGACCTAACATCTAGGATGTAGTCTATAATGATGGACTAGACCTAACATCTAGGATGTAGTCTATAATGATGGACTAGACCTAACATCTAGGATGTAGTCTATAATGATGGACTAGACCTAACATCTAGGATGTAGTCTATAATGATGGACTAGACCTAACATCTAGGATGTAGTCTATAATGATGGACTAGACCTAACATCTAGGATGTAGACCTATAATGATGGACTAGACCTAACATCTAGGATGTAGTCTATAATGATGGACTAGACCTAACATCTAGGATGTAGTCTATAATGATGGACTAGACCTAACATCTAGGATGTAGTCTATAATGATGGACTAGACCTAACATCTAGGATGTTGACCTATAATGATGGACTAGACCTAACATCTAGGATGTAGTCTATAATGATGGACTAGACCTAACATCTAGGATGTTGACCTATAATGATGGACTAGACCTAACATCTAGGATGTAGATCTATAATGATGGACTAGACCTAACATCTAGGATGTAGACCTATAATGATGGACTAGACCTAACATCTAGGATGTAGACTATAATGATGGACTAGACCTAACATCTAGGATGTAGTCTATAATGATGAACTAGACCTAACATCTAGGATGTAGTAGACCTAACATCTATAATGAGACCTATAATGATAGACCTAACATCTAGGATGTAGACCTAACATCTAGGATAATGATGGACTAGACCTAACATCTAGGATGTAGTCTATAATGATGGACTAGACCTAACATCTAGGATGTAGTCTATAATGATGGACTAGACCTAACATCTAGGATGTAGACCTATAATGATGGACTAGACCTAACATCTAGGATGTAGTCTATAATGATGGACTAGACCTAACATGGACTAGACCTAAGCTAGGATGTAGATGGACTATAATGATGGACTAGACCTAACATCTAGGATGTAGACCTATAATGATGGACTAGACCTAACATCTAGGATGTAGTCTATAATGATGGACTAGACCTAACATCTAGGATGTAGTCTATAATGATGGACTAGACCTAACATCTAGGATGTAGTCTATAATGATGGACTAGACCTAACATCTAGGATATAATGATAGACTAGACCTAACATCTATAGTCTATAATGATGGACTAGACCTAACATCTAGGATGTAGTCTATAATGATGGACTAGACCTAACATCTAGGATGTAGACCTATAATGATGGACTAGACCTAACATCTAGGATGTAGACCTATAATGATGGACTAGACCTAACATCTAGGATGTAGTCTATAATGATGGACTAGACCTAACATCTAGGATGTAGTCTATAATGATGGACTAGACCTAACATCTAGGATGTAGACCTATAATGATGAACTAGACCTAACATCTATATATAAGACCTCCCCTCCTAACAGTAGGAAAGTCTATAATGATGATATATATAGACATCTAGATATAAGAGTGATATCCCCTCCCTAGTAAAAGTAAGATATGATATATAAGACCTCCCCTCCCAGTAAGATATGATATATAAGACCTCCCCTCCCAGTAAGATATAATATATAAGACCTCCACTCCCAGTAAAAGTAAGATATGATATATAAGACCTCCCCTCCCAGTAAGATAATGATATAGACCTATATAAGATGATCCCCTCCCCTCCCAGTAAGATAGTAAGATATAATATATAAGACCTCCCCTCCCAGTAAGATATGATATATAAGACCTCCCCTCCCAGTAAGATATGATATATAAGACCTCCCCTCCCAGTAAGATATAATATATAAGACCTCCCCTCCCAGTAAGATATGATATATAAGACCTCCCCTCCCAGTAAGATATGATATATAAGACCTCCCCTCCCAGTAAAAGTAAGATATGATATATAAGACCTCCCCTCCCAGTCAAAGTAAGAAAAGATATATAAGACCTCCCCTCCCAGTAAAATATAAGATATATAAGACCTCCCCTCCCAGTAAGAATGATATATAAGACCTCCCCTAGTAAGATATGATATATAAGACCTCCCCTCCCAGTAAGATATGATATATAAGACCTCCCCTCCCAGTAAAAGTAAGATATGATATATAAGACCTCCCCTCCCAGTAAAAGTAAGATATGATATATAAGACCTCCCCTCCCAGTAAAAGTAAGATATGATATATAAGACCTCCCCTCCCAGTAAAAGTAAGATATGATATATAAGACCTCCCCTCCCAGTAAAAGTAAGATATGATATATAAGACCTCCCCTCCCAGTAAGATATGATATATAAGACCTCACCTCCCAGTAAAAGTAAGATATGATATATAAGACCTCCCCTCCCATTAAGATATGATATATAAGACCTCCCCTCCCAGTAAGATATGATATAAGACCTCCCCTCCCAGTAAGATATGATATATAAGACCTCCCCTCCCAGTAAGATATGATATATAAGACCTCCCCTCCCAGTAAGATATGATATATAAGACCTCCCCTCCCAGTAAGATATGATATATAAGACCTCCCCTCCCAGTAAAAGTAAGATATGATATATAAGACCTCCCCTCCCAGTAAGATATGATATATAAGAAGAAGATGTGATATATAAGACCTCCCCTCCCAGTAAACGTCAGATATATATAAGACCTCCCCTTCCAGTCAAAGTAAGATATGATATATAAGACCTCCCCTCCCAGTAAGATATGATATATAAGACCTCCCCTCCCAGTATGATATGATATATAAGACCTCCCCTCCCAGTAAGATATGATATATAAGACTTCCCCTCCCAGTAAGATATGATATATAAGACCTCCCCTCCCAGTAAGATATGATATATAAGACCTCCCCTCCCAGTAAGATATGATATATAAGACCTCCCCTCCCAGTAAGAAAGTAGATATATAATAGTAAGATATATATATAAGACCTCCCCTCCCAGTAAAAGTAAGATATGATATATAAGACCTCCCCTCCCAGTAAAAGTAAGATATGATATATAAGAGTAAGATATGATATATAAGACCTCCCCTCCCAGTAAGATATGATATATAAGACCTCCCCTCCCAGTAAGATATAATATATAAGACCTCCCCTCCCAGTAAGATATAATATAGAAGACCTCCCCTCCCAGTAAGATATGATATATAAGACCTCCCCTCCCAGTCAAAGTAAGATATGATATATAAGACCTCCCCTCCCAGTACGATATGATATATAAGACCTCCCCTCCCAGTAAAAGTAAGATATGATATATAAGACCTCCCCTCCAGTAAAAGTAATATAGTAAGATATGATATATAAGACCTCCCCTCCCAGTAAATCCCAGTAAGATATATATATAAGACCTCCCCTCCCAGTAAGATATGATATATAAGACCTCCCCTCCCAGTAAAAGTAAGATATGATATATAAGACCTCCCCTCCCAGTAAGATATGATATATAAGACCTCCCCTCCCAGTAAGATATGATATATAAGACTTCCCCTCCCAGTAACAGTAAGATATGATATATGACCTCCCCTCCCAGTTAGATATGATATATAAGACCTCCCCTCCCAGTAAGATATGATATATAAGACCTCCCCTCCCAGTAAGATATGATATATAAGACCTCCCCTCCCAGTAAAAGTAAGATATGATATATAAGACCTCCCCTCCCAGTAAGATATGATATATAAGACCTCCCCTCCCAGTAAGATATGATATATAAGACCTCCCCTCCCAGTAAGATATGATATATAAGACCTCCCCTCCCAGTAAAAGTAAGATATGATATATAAGACCTCCCCTCCCAGTAAAAGTAAGATATGATATATAAGACCTCCCCTCCCAGTAAGATATGATATATAAGACCTCCCCTCCCAGTAAGATATGATATATAAGACCTCCCCTCCCAGTAAGATATGATATATAAGACCTCCCCTCCCAGTAAGATATGATATATAAGACCTCCCCTCCCAGTAAGATATGATATATAAGACCTCCCCTCCCAGTAAGATATGATATATAAGACCTCCCCTCCCAGTAAGATATGATATATAAGACCTCCCCTCCCAGTAAGATATGATATATAAGACCTCCCCTCCCAGTAAGATATGATATATAAGACTTCCCCTCCCAGTAAGATATGATATATAAGACCTCCCCTCCCTCCCAGTAAGATATGATATATAAGACCTCCCCTCCCAGTAAAAGTAAGATATGATATATAAGACCTCCCCTCCCAGTAAAAGTAAGATATGATATATAAGACTTCCCCTCCCAGTAAAAGTAAGATATGATATATAAGACCTCCCCTCCCAGTAAGATATGATATATAAGACTTCCCCTCCCAGTAAAAGTAAGATATGATATATAAGACTTCCCCTCCCAGTAAAAGTAAGATATGATATATAAGACCTTCCCTCCCAGTAAGATATGATATATAAGACCTCCCCTCCCAGTAAGATATGATATATAAGACTTCCCCTCCCAGTAAAAGTAAGATATGATATATAAGAAGTAAGATATGATATATAAGACCTCCCCTCCCAGTAAAAGTAAGATATGATATATAAGACCTCCCCTCCCAGTAAGATCTGAAAAAATCAAAAGAAGTGAATCAATGTTATGTCGACGATACCATGAAATTGAGAAGTAGCTAAGAAATTCACCGTTAAGAGAAGACGTTTTCTTTGGACTTGTCATTGGATTTTCGGTGAGGTTGGGAGGTATTCCAGTTGATGATGGATTCTGACGTCTTTGTGATGATGAATGGACAAGCCCATCGGGTCCTTTGATCAATCGATAAGATAGGCAAAAATGCTCATTTTTTGCATGTCAATATAAAATGGTAACCTTAGCGTTTTAATTATTCCCGACAAAAACCAACAAAAAGAGGAGTATAAGGGAAACTAATGCATGCTTTCCGAAAATGATTTTATAGGGACAAAGTTGAACAAAGGGCAATAATTATGTAATGAACGGGTTTTGGGCCCTGAATTTGGTTACTGTATGACTGATATATACACCAAGTTTCATTATCCAAGTTTGATTGAAAGCAAAGTTATGCTCTGGACAAGAAGTTTTAATAAAGGGCAATAACTCTGTAATTAAGGGGTTGCAGTCTCTGAATTTGGTACAATGCACATCGCCTTAGTATGACCAACAATTACACAAAGTTTTATCCTCAATTGTGACCACAACTTCTATTGACCCATTATATCAGAATACATTAAGAAGTACTAACTGTACAATTTTGCTGTGATGACATTTTGGTAACTTGCGACTTTACATTCAATACTAATTTTTTGATCTCTAAAGTATACTTACCAGTACAAAAGAAGGGCAGCCTTTTCGTGCAGTTTATGCCCTTTTTAAACGATGTGTTCGTGTAAGTGCATTCTTCAAAGAGTGTTTTGTCTGAAAAAGAAACGTAGGACTCAAGATTTGATAGACTATTTTTAACAAACAAGACATACAGCTACGTATATACGGTTTGGAAATGATGATGAAACATACATGTGTTTTTAAGAAAAATGTGTTATTATCTAAAATAATAGAATATGAGGTTTTGAAAATATCCGCTTTATTTTTTCAAGCCTTATGTATTAATTATTTGGGATACCCGTAATAGTTTTATATCAAATTTAGGCCCCTATTATCACTGAGGAGTCCTAAAAGGACTAAACTGCTCTATGATACAGTAACTTCATTAAATGGCTTTATTGTACGTAACTCTAAAGTCAAATTAATAGGTGCTCTAGACTTGTGTGTCTCATGTACGATATCCTAGGTATCCAGGTGGTGACCACTGCTGCTGGACTTTTAATTCCTGACGCTTTTCGTCACCGGTGTGGCATTGTGGTATGTTGATAATATACATAAATACTCAACAAAAAAAGAAACGCGATGCGATCAATAGTCTATGATATTTTGGGAAATTTGTACAAAATTTCATATCAATATCAAGGGACAAGTCTACTCTTTACAATACTGTAGAGGAAAATTCTGTGTGACGTCCCTTGTGTCGTCAGTCGTTACTCAAATTGGGATACCGCGAAAAACAAAAAGACACTTCAGTACTTTGTGTGGGCAACTTTTGCAGGAATCCCTGTAAGGATTCTCTTATGCATTGAATTCATGAGAACATTACTTCGCCTTAAAGGAATGCTGTTCCATCCTTGTGTTAATGCTGCGATCAACAGGGTGCGGTCAGTTGGAAGTTTTGACGTTTCGTATTACGCCTGACCAGCTCATCCAACAGATAGTCAATGGGAGACACGTCATGACTATATGAGGGCTATTTCAGAGGCTGAACTTTGATGATCCTGGCAACATGCGGTCGAGAAAGACATGTGGTTGGAGGATCTGGTCTCTATATAGAAAAGCATTGAAGTTTGGATTCAGGACCAATATGGACGATCTCACTCCATGGGAAATGTCTCCCCAAACCATTACAGAAGCTTCACCGAGTCTATCGCGTTCAACCATGTATGCGTCGGCGAAACCCTCACTGCGATATACCCTTTTTCTTCCGTCTGAGCGATACAGACAGAATCTTGACTTGTAGGTGAACATCACACGACTCCACCGACGCATCCCAAACCTGTTTAAACATTTACCGCCTCTGTGGCCTGGGATAAGGTCAGCGCGCAATGCTTCTCTCGGCACGCAAGTTTGAGCTCTAATGGGTCTTCCATGAATACCTAAGGTATGCAACGCAGTCTTAAATATGTCGTGCGGTCGTTACTCGCGGACGCCTGATCCTGGGACGATCAGAAACTAACCCACTCGCATTGAAACCAGCGAAATCAAAATTCCAATGTGTAAAATTAATGTGGCTCAATTGAGAGTATCCGTTGAAATATATATTCGTTTGAAAACATCCGGCATGGCTTGATCACGGCGCGTGATTTGGACTAATGATATTCACAAAGTCAGACAATGACATCGTCGATTGTCGAGAAGGGAGATCAATCTTATTGTAATACCTGACCAAATATCCCATTTTTTCCTTACAGCTAAGGTGTGCTGCAAGGGGGAAGTTTGTGCGTTTCTTTTTTTTGTTGAGAATATATGATGTTGAGACTTTGATGAAATCATTCGAAATATGAAAATGACTACATTCATTGAATAACATGGCTTTCCCGTAGAGTTTTTGATGATTCTGTCCATTATTTTTTTTATTTTCCTCTATCGCCTCCTGGCTATAAAAATCCAGGCTCTCATCATCGCTGGCGAATATTGGAAAAAATGAAACAGCCCACTGATGCGATTTCGTGACTGGGCTGTACTAAAGCACTAGTCGATAGCATGGTTTTTGTACAGTTTTTAAGATCGAAATGCATAACAGGCTATCTAATCGTTGATAAAGTACGTCTTGAATTTCCAATATATTTCGCTATATACATAATGTGTTGAGGATCGTTAACAGATTACCTGTGTGCTTTATTCCCAATTTTTAGTTGACAGAGGAAGGATGGTTTCACTGATTGAAAGATCATAAAGTTTTGAATGCTATTTATCTGAATTATCATATGATATCCTACCAAGAGCCACTGGACGATACATTCCGATCCATAATAGTCCGTTGTCAGTCCTAAACGTACCGTCGTCATTCTGGCAATTCTTCTCGAAAGACTGAGGTAAAAATCCCTTGTTTGAACAGTATTGTACTCCTTCTTTCCAATTCAGCTTTTCATTTGATCTTTTTGAATCAGCTGCAATGAAGTTTGGATTTAGTCACATAACTGTTATTACATATATTTCGCGTCTTTTATCGTAGAATTCATGCTTTTACAAGTAGATATCAAACTGGTCGTTTAAATCATGTAGTCGATAAGTTGTACGTTATCAAATGACCCTGTAATAATTGGAAGGAAAAGAATAGGATTGATAGAAGTTATTTGAAAGCAGGTTAAGAGAATTAAGCTATATCATAGCCCCAGTTTTGCTAGAAAGTTTTGAATAAGTTTGATAGTACTTACAACATAAAATTCTGATTTTTTGTTTGCAAGCCTTCAAATGAGAAGTTTTCTTCTTACAATTAAAAGCGACACAGTTCCTTTCCGAATCTGATGAACGGGCATTTTTCCCACGTGATGGACTTTTCTTCAACACATCTTCGTCTGTAGCAAACCGATTTTATCTCTCATATATTACATACACTAGAATCATACGTAAAATACGATCTTCAAAACCACCAGCAATACGTATCATATTTCAACAAGTTAAAATGTATAACGTACAACTCCATCAGGATGTGACATTGGTAGTTTTATATCGAATTTAAAGACGTTGTACGAGTAAAAACGTTGTTACAGTATAAATATAGGGAAGAACTTACTGCGATATTTTCTGTAAACAACAAAATTTGATTCATTTCCAAATGTATCACAGTGCCTCCATTCGACCTTATGTGAAGCATCCGCAGATAAACAAACACACCGTCTGTTCTCCTTCAAAAGATGAATTCACAATGTAATGGAAATACTGTCCAATCTCCTGTGGCTATATCTAACATACTGAAAGGGACCAACAATTTCAATGGAAAGCAGCATAATTCACACAACTTCACAAATACGGGCCTCACCACTGATACATTTTAGAAATATAAAATTTTCAGCAATAATATGCACTTTTTAGAAATATAAAATTTTCAGCAATAATATGCACATTTTAGAAATATAAAATTTTCAGCAATAATATGCACATTTTAGAAATATAAAATTTTCAGCAATAATATGCACATTTTGATTAATGTATGAAATCTCTGGCAATTACTCAGGATTAAAATATTATTGAAAATGTGCCGATGTATCTGTGTGTGTTGAGTCTAAGATACAAACACACAAAAGATTGGGGAGTTGTTTTTTGTCTTTTCCCCCCTTTTTTCCTGGCAATTACTCAGGATAGAAATTTTATTGAAAATGTGCCGATGTATCTGTGTGTGTGTGTGTGTGTGTGTGTGTGTGTGTGTGTGTGTGTGTGTGTGTGTGTGTGTGTGTGTGTGTGTGTGTGTGTGTGTGTGTGTGTGTGTGTGTGTGTGTGTGTGTGTGTGTGTGTGTGTGTGTGTGTAAGTGTGATAACTTATAATAAACTACTTCCGAAAGCGCAGTCCTTATGTAAAGGCCAGATGTATGTCGCGTTGAAACACACTTACACGTTGTAAACAGTTTACAAAAGCGTAATTCCCTATTTTCACTGTCGGCTCCATGATAAAAGTAGTGACTGTAATGTGTCAGCTTGTTGCAGCGTGTTAAGTTGTTATAATAACATTTGCAACAAATTAGAATGTATTTGACGGGATATAGCGTGCCAGTTTGTTACAGCGCGTCAGTTTGCTACAATAACATATCCTGTGATTGGCCGAGAGATGTTGTGGGGCCACTTTAGTTCAAATGTGGAACAATGGTTTCCGAAACGATACTCCGCTGGTTCCTATGAACAATATTTATAACAGATTGATCGTTATATCTCAGTTTCTACACCTTGATTACCTGCTTTCGCAAAAGTCCGGAAACATTATACTTGGTTTGTCCGTTCGCCGGTCTGTATATCAGTAGCAATAGGTTTAACTCGTGGAAGACAAACATTCTTGGAATGTATTGAATTAACTTTTGTGTACTAAAGAACACATCATGGGAACATACAGGCCATTGCGCGTCAAGTTCCCTTTGTTACCACTGGGCGTACTACAATGGATATTGCGTGACATTTGTTTGGTTGGTTGGTCGCAGGTTTTCCGTCTCCGTCAGTGTTCTAGCGATGTGAGAAGGCAACATGCACCCCACTCAGATGGACGGAACCGTCTGTGTGAGTGTTTGATTATGTTAGAAAACTTGTATCGCAATTGTTGTAAACTTAGAGGAGTTTTTGTAATATACAATATAACAAAAGTGTGATGGTAACTAAATAGTCAGTCATATATGTTGATTTGAATCCGTGTGTATATGTTACACATTTCGGGTTTGTTACATATCGAGACATGACTGGCAGTTCATATAATTTCAACCGTTTGACGAGTTGGAATAAGGATGAAAGTATTTTCTCTGTGGTATGAGTCGCCAATAGGGGGCGCTATGTGTATGATTTGCACGTGCAAATCAAGACTAGGGCCGTACTGTAGCGTGTTACCTGTACGTGTCATTCAGGTGGCACAGGTAGGGACGCACGGAGGTGGAGATTTGTTTTTTTATTTTTTTTTGCGGTAAAATGTAATAAAAGTTCATCTGTGTGGGGTTTCCGTTGCGGTAAAATGTAATAGTTATTAATGAAACGAGTGACATATATATACATACATTGTATATTGTGTATTTGTAACAGATTAGTGTATGATTTACATGTTTGCTTAATAAATCAGTCGCGATGCCTCTGTCGCCGTGAAATACATTTTAGTATTTTGTGTTGTTTATCCTATTGGATAATAAAATAGAGAAATCACCTTTCAAACCTACGTGTACAGGTGTGGTATTGCAAAACGCACGGACAACTTCGTGTGCACATCATGCATACATCGCGCGCACAATTGTGCGATAGGATCACACATTTTGTGCAATTTTGTAAAGAAAGTTGGCTTATGTTGAAAATTAAACGGAAAATTCGATCTGTGTTTATCAAAGTCATTTTCAATTTGACGGTTTCCGAAATAACACTGGATCAATCTATCTTATCGTATAGTTTCACACCCTAAAGAGTGACGAGTGGTGTAGCTCAGACAACAAACAATGCTCGCGCAATACATACAACACATAACATATATATAGAGAGAAATAATGCATGGTCGGTGTCTTTAAAATATAAGCTGTATTTTGGTGAGGGTGAAGAAAGACAAAAGTGGCGAGCCTTTGGCGAGCAGCTTTTGTCCTTCTGTCCCGAGCCAAAATGCAGTTTATATATTAAGACACTGACAATGTATTCTATCTATCCTGCACCAATGATTGATAATTACATGTAAACTATTGAAACTTAAATAGTTTTGGTGTCTAATCTTTGTTTACCTGATATTGACGTTGCGCTGAATTTTACCTGATGCGGATGCCAAAATGATTGCTCCGCGCGGAAACATAGTTCCCAATTTCATCCGATATAACAGCGCTTTTATGAATTTCTTATCAACTTTTTCATTACAACATGTAAAATCGCTTATTTCAAAAACTGTTTATAATTCTAAAAGTAATATTTAAGTAAATCCAGAGAGTATTTTTTCGAATTATCGTACGTGCTAAAATTCAGCTGTTTTCCGTCACTACCGAATACAGCAAAACAATCTGGGCAGTTGTATTCTGACAACAGCGCTGCCAGTTGCAGGAGAAATATATATATATATTAAATATTGTTTACTAAATAGTATAAAAATGAGAGTTATACAGAATTAATGAAAATGAAATTTCCCTACCGAAAGGATGAGTTTTTAGATGATACATTGCCGAGACAAAAAGAGACGCCATTTATGTGTTAATGTTTATGTAATGATTGTCCGTACAAAAAGGCTGATCACGTGAGGCACTTTGTATATATAACTGTTCAGTCTGTATTTGATGGATCCACATATGTCCAACCACGGATTCTGAGTCCGTGGTCCAAACTTTATATTGATGACTTAGTTAGCAAATATACATGTACTTTGTTGTACTATTACATACGGCGTATTTGGAAAACGAATAACTCCTATCCCACACGAATCATTTCTAAATTTATATCAATCACGATAGCGCAATAATGTGGGATAGCTTACTTCGCCTAGTTTGCCTATCGTGCATACACCAAGAAATGTCATAACTAAAGGGTAGATTTTGTCACACTTTGGTGTTTTAATGAGCAAAACAAAACACCCAAATGTGACAAATTAGTAGAAATTTTGTGAAAATATTCTGGGGCAATAATTGAATTTTACAAAATGATATTGGTTTTGTCGTTGATCAAAATGTTTGGGTATGGCTTTTATATTGTTTCGTGTATTTTGTAACATAAATGAAAAACACTAATTTTACTTATTGTTACTTATTAAATGGATTCCCATAAAACCGGAACATATCCCATCTTCGTGCGTAGCAATACAAATACAATCTAAATACAGATATTTACAATATCAAAGCGCATAATTATTAGTGATAAAGTTACCGGTATGACTATTGCCCAATACCCGCGATATTGAAGTTTCTGTGTCGGCAGAGACGATAAACCAGAGCAGACAAACAAAAGTGCATATAACTTACGTCGAATTTCAATACACGAATTCGCCCTATGCTCATTTCGCCCTCCGAGGATTAAATAAAAGTGTACAAATTTTTCGTCTTTTCTTAAATTCACCATCCCTGACGAGTACCTTTGGAGACCATTAACTTAACCGACAGAAATACAGAAAAAAAAATGCATGCTGTGGTCATTTCTCTCCATCTACGTTGATTTTTATTTTCTGACTTCGTAATATCTAAAGTAAAATCAAGTCCTTGTGAGGTAATTATCACGTTTTCAACCATACTGGCAGAACCTAACAAACGGAGTAATTATGTAAAAACAAATTGTAAAACATTTTTCCCGCTTTAATCTTAAAACATTCTTAAAACATAAAATACTATGAGCACCAGTGAAGAGGAAACATGATACTGACCAAACGCCCTCATTTTACCTAAATAACGTTCTTCAACATGTCCGCATATGTAATAAGATGACAGTTTGTCTTGTGTTCAGTTTAACCAATAGAACAATATTTTCAATAGCGCAAAATTCCGTTGGTTAAAAAATGTTTGAATCAAAGAAAATTTATCTATCACGTAAGCTATTGTGGCACTATTACTTTTCTCTGTAGACCCTTTATTCAAGGTCTCTATTGCTCATTGCTGTTTTAATTCTCGAATTTAGCGTAAAGGGGTAGCATTGCAGTAAAGTATTAGAATGACATTAAAAGTTACATACTTGTATGGCGATTCTTTCTGTATTGCAGCTTTCACTGCATCGCTTTCTACCATCGAAATCTTGATCAAAGGTTATGCTTGTTTCCATGATGTCGATACTGTAACATCCTAGGATAACAAAACACACACGTGTCACAAACATCGAAATCGCTTTGCCAAGTATTTGTAGAACTGCCTTATCATCACAGCAGCACGGCAAAAAAGAAGTGATGGAGAGTTAGAAATTATCGAAATGATCGAAGTGACATGCGCCTATTATGTGATATACACGGAGGAAAATTGTGAAAATAACAAATGTCAAACTCGGGTACAATTACGACAGGCAATTCAAATCTTCGGAACAACCTCGTGGCTGTGTGGGATGCTACGTGTTACTCTTGTATTACAAGAGTGGTGTGGTTACAAAGACACAAGAGTGGTATGGTTATAAAGACACAAGAGTGGTATGGTTATAAAGACACAAGAGTGATATGGTTATAAAGACACAAGAGTGATGTGGTTAAAAAGACATAAGAGTGGTATGGTTATAAAGACACAAGAGTGATGTGGTTATAAAGACACAAGAGTGATGTAGTTATAAAGACCCAGGAGTAATGTAGTTATAAAGAAACAAGGGTGGAGTAGTTATACAAACACAAGAGTGGTGTGGTTATAAAGACACAAGGGTGGAGTAATTATGAAGACACAAGGGTGGTAATGTTATAAGACACAGGAGTGGTGTTGTTTCTAAGACACAATAGTTGTGTGGTTTCTAAGACAGAATAGTGGTGTAGTTTCTAAGACACAAGAGTGATATGGTTTCAAAGACATAAGAGTAGTGTAGTTTCGAAGACACAAGAGTGGTGTGGTTTCTACGACACAATAGTGGTGTGGTTTCGAAGACACAATAGTGGTGTGGCTTCTAGGACACAAGAATGGTGTGGTTTCGAAGACACAAGAGTGGTGTGGTTTCTAGGATACAAAAGTGGTGTAGTTATAAAGACACAAAAGTGGTGTGGATTCTAAGACACAAGATTGGTGTGGTTTCTAAGACACAAGAGTGCAATGGTTCTAAGACACAATAGTGGTATGATTCTAAGACATAAAAGTGGTATGGTTTTATGACACAAGAATGGTATGGTTTCTAGGACACAAGAATGGTGTGGTTTCTAAGACACAAGAGTGGTGTGGTTTCTTGGACACAAGAGTGGTGTCGTTTCTAAGACACAAGGATTGTTTGGTTTCTAAGACACAGGAGTGCTATGGTTCTAGGACACAATAGTGGTATGGTTCTAAGACATAAAAGTGGTATGGTTCCATGACACAAGAGTGGTATGGTTTCTAGGACACAAGAGTGGTGTGGTTTCTAAGACACAAGAGTGGTGTGGTTTCTTGGACACAAGAGTGGTGTCGTTTCTAAGACACAAGGATTGTTTGGTTTCTAAGACACAGGAGTGCTATGGTTCTAGGACACAATAGTGGTATGGTTCTAAGACATAAAATTGGTATGGTTCCTTGACACAAGAGAGGTATGGTTTCTAGGACACAAGAGTGGTGTGGTTTCTTGGACACAAGAGTGGTGTGGTTTCTAAGACACAAGAGTGATGTGATTTCTTGGACACAAGAGTGGTGTGGTTCCTTAGACACAAGAGTGGTGTGGTTTTTATTGGACACAAGATTGGTGTGGTTTCTAAGACACAAGAGTGGTGTGGTTTTTATTGGACACAAGATTGGTGTGGTTTCTAGGACACAATAGTGGTGTGGTTTCTAAGACACAAGAGTGGTATGGTTTCTAAGACACAAGAGTGGTGTGGTTTTTATTGGACACAAGATTGGTGTGGTTTCTAGGACACAAGAGTGGTATGGTTTCTAAGACACAAGAGTGTTGTGGTTTCTAAGACACAAGAGTGGTGTGGTTTTTATTGGACACAAGATTGGTGTGGTTTCTAGGACACAATAGTGGTGTGGTTTATAAGACACAAGAGTGGGTGGTTTCTAAGACAAAAGAGTGCTGTGGTTTCTAAGACACAATAGTGGTGTTGCTTATAATGCACAAGAGTGGTGTGGTTTCTAAGACACAAGAGTCGGTGGTTTCTAAGACATAAGAGTGCCGTTGTTTCTAAGACACACGAGTGGTGTGGTTCTAAGACACAAGAGTGGTGTGGTTTCTAAGACACAAGGGTTGTTTGTTTTCTAAGACACAAGAGTGGTGTGGTTCCTTAGAAACAAGATTGGTGTGGTTTCTAAGACACCGGGATTGTGTGGTTTCTAGGACAAAAGAGCGGTGTGGTTTCTAGGACACAAGAGTGGGGTGGTTTCTAAGACACAAGGGTTGTTTGGTTTCTAAGACACAAGAGTGGTGTGGTTTCAAAGACACAAGGGTTGTGTGGTTTCTAAGACACAAGAGAAGTGTGGTTTCTAAGTCAAATGAGTGGTGTGGTTTCTAAGACACAAGAGTGGTGTGGTTTCTAGGACACAAGAGTGGTGTGGTTTCTAAGACACAAGAGTGTTGTGGTTTCTAAGACACAATAGTGGTGTGGTTTATAAGACACAAGGGTGGGTGGTTTCTAAGACACAAGAGTGCTGTGGTTTATAAGACACAAGAGTGGGTGGTTTCTAAGACACAATAGTGCTGTGGTTTCTAAGACACAATAGTGGTCTTATTTATAAGACACAAGAGTGGTGTGGTTTCTAAAACACAAGAGTGGCGTGGTTTCTAAGACACAATAGTGGTGTGGTTTCTAAGACACAATAGTGGTGTGGTTTATAGGACACAATATTTGTGTGGTTTATAGGACACAATAGTGGTGTGGTTTATAGGACACAATAATGGTGTGGTTTCTAAGACACAATAGTGGGGTGGTTTATAGGACACAATAGTGGTGTGGTTTTTAAGACACAATAGTGCTGTGGTTTCTAAGACACAATAGTGGGATGGTTTCTAAGACACAAGAGTGGTGTGTTTTTTAAGACACAATAGTGGTGTGGTTTATAGGACACAATAGTGGTGTGGTTTATAGGACACAAGAGTGGCGTGGTTTCTAAGACACAATAGTGGGATGGTTTCTAAGACACAAGAGTTGTGTGGTTTCTAAGACACAAAAGTGGTGTGGTTTATAGGACACAATAATGGTGTGGTTAATAGGACACAAAAATGGTGTGGTTTCTAAGACACAAGAGTTGTGTGGTTTCTAAGACACAAAAGTGGTGTGGTTTCTAAGACACAATAGTGGTGTGGTTTATAGGACACAATAGTGGTGTGGTTTATAGGACACAATAGTGGTGTGGTTTCTAAGACACAAGAGTGGTGTGGTTTCTAAGACACGATAGTGGTATGGTTTCTAAGACACAAGAGTGGTGTGGTTTCTAAGACACAATAGTGGTGTGGTTTATAGGACACAATAGTGTTGTGGTTTCTAGGACACAATAGTGGTGTGGTTTATAGGACATAATAGTGGTGTGGTTTATAGGACACAAAAGTGGTGTGGTTTCTAAGACACAAAAGTTGGCATATTTTGTGTTCAGTCCTCTATCTTTTTCACTCTGCAAATATACAATAGTTCCCTTACCTTCATATGAAAGCCACTTCGTGATTTGGATAGACCGAATCCAAACGTTGTTCCAAATATCGAAAGTAGACTGTTTGATCTCAGAGATAGTCGACAGTGTTCCATCATGTTTAGTTTTGCAATAATCCACAGCTTCATTCCAGGTCTTCCTGTACGTGTCATTGGTAATAACACAGTCTAGGATCAACAGTAATAATACGTTTGTAAAACACTCTCTATGGATGTATTTTCGAATTTTAACAAATGCAGTTGCACTCATACAAAATGATAACAATGTTGTTTCATTTTTAATGAACAAAATCTTTTTGAAAAGCTAATTTATAGAAACAAAATTTCTGCCATCTAGGAGTATATGGTGACTAAACTCTCCAAACTATTGACATGACCACTTGTGGACTATACAAATGTCAAACCTAAATGATACAGTACCATATATACCCCCACTAAAGCATCGGAGTAAACCTGGCCATATTTGATTTGGATTGTACACCTTTTCAGCATGGTGTTTAATAACGATGTTTGAATCATATTGACTTCGCGTAGACGATAGGACAATATTGATACCCTTTAATTGACTTCTGGAGGTTAAGATATGCTTAAGACGTGTTAGTGCCACGTGTGAAATTTGTTTATACACCGTCACACTGACAAGGTAAGGGAAATATATAAGTCTTCATCTCCAGACCAAGTCCAGAATGAAGCCTGCTTGACACATTGCTGTTTTACATGTAACAACGATAAAAACATTGACCACTCTATTGTTACACTCTGATTTCCGATACCGAGACAAACTTGTGAGAAGGCAAACCTTGCACGTGTACCCTATCGGAATCAAATATCCACATATATTATTGTGGAAAATCTTGGTATGGTATACTTAACTTGAACTTACAAACTAATAAATGATTATTTTGGCAAACCTCGGGGACCTGTAACCAACAGCAGTGTCTACTCCTTCGATTTCAAATGAGTTTACACATTATACACAATGAACATCCTCTTTGTTGCAAATTTATAATTTTATACAGTTAAGTCAAATTAATTAACTAAAGGTTACAAAACGTGTAGTTGTTTAAATCATGTTTCCTTCACTCGTGTAAATAATTTCCCGTAAGATTGACTTTAGTTATGTTTGAAACATACCCACTGATTGACTTGTTCTGTACCCATTGATTGACTTGTTCTGTACCCACAGATTGACTTGTTCTGTGCCCACAGATTGACTTGTTCTGTGCCCATTGATTGACTTGTTCTGTACCCACTGATTGACTTGTTCTGTACCCATTGATTGACTTGTTCTGTACCCATTGATTGACTTGTTCTGTACCCATTGATTGACTTGTTCTGTACCCACTGATTGACTTGTTCTGTGCCCACAGATTGACTTGTTCTGTACACACAGATTGACTTGTTCTGTACCCACAGATTGACTTGTTCTGTACACACAGATTGACTTGTTCTGTACCCACAGATTGACTTGTTCTGTGCCCACAGATTGACTTGTTCTGTGCCCACAGCTTGACTTGTTCTGTACACACAGATTGACTTGTTCTGTACCCACAGATTGACTTGTTCTGTACCCACTGATTGACTTGTTCTGTACCCACTGATTGACTTGTTCTGTACCCACTGATTGACTTGTTCTGTACCCACTGATTGACTTGTTCTGTACCCACTGATTGACTTGTTCTGTACCCACTGATTGACTTGTTCTGTACCCACAGATTGACTTGTTCTGTACCCACAGATTGACTTGTTCTGTGCCCACAGATTGACTTGTTCTGTGCCCACTGATTGACTTGTTCTGTGCCCACAGATTGACTTGTTCTGTGCCCACAGATTGACTTGTTCTGTACACACAGATTGACTTGTTCTGTACCCACAGCTTGACTTGTTCTGTACCCACAGATTGACTTGTTCTGTACACACAGATTGACTTGTTCTGTACACACAGATTGACTTGTTCTGTACCCACAGATTGACTTGTTCTGTGCCCACAGATTGACTTGTTCTGTGCCCACAGATTGACTTATTCTGTACCCATTGATTGACTTGTTCTGTACTCACTGATTGATTTGACTGGTTTGGCGTGTATTGCTAAGGGCCTTAAATATTGGGAGAAAGATCAGATTGACCGTAAAACCTTCAACAAAAAGGGTACCAAACAGCGACAGAACATCGTACAACAAGGAAGACAGGACATCGTACAATGAAGACAGGACATCGAACACTGAATACAGGACATCGGACACTGAATACAGGACATCGGACAATGAAAACAGGACATCTTACAATGAAGACAGCACATCATACAATGAAGACAGGACATCATACAATGGAGACAGGACATCGTACAAGGATGGCAGGTTATAGCACACTATGTACATGACGTCAGGCGGCTGGTCAAGGAGGCAATTTGGATACTCTACAGTGGACGGCCGGTACTTAACACGGATGAAGGGGGCCACAGACTCTCGCGCATCAAGTTTTCAACTGGTTGTGTTATATGACATTTTTTTATTCTATTGACATTACCACCCTGAGATGTTACGAAATATCAGAAATACTTTTCGACTCTTTTTTAACCATCGCTTCATTTCGGTTTTTAAATACTTCACTCATGTCATTTGGAAAAGAAAGTAACAATATACAGTACAACAAATCAACAAATCAACAGATTAACAGATTAACACTTTCAAAAATGTGCAAATTGTTTACATTGACTTATAAATTACCGAAGGACGCAAACAGTAAATCTAAGGCTTGACAAACGATTGTAGTGTGTACTTCCGGTTTTGCGCGTGTTCTCTGGCGAACAAGGATATTTTTGTCAAGTGTTTAGTGTAATATTCTACAGCCAATATGTAATATTGTGTAATTATTCCACAGCATCAACGCGCGAGTAAATAATAGTTCTAATCATTAACACAACGTTAGTAATGTACAATAATGAGAATGAATTACAATCGCTTTTATACAGGAAGAACAACAATTTAAAGAGTCAACATTAAATGATTTGGATTTGGCACAACATTGTAGCTCGTGTCAACACTTCATGACAAAAAGAAAGCAAAATAATAACAATCAAATCAAAGTACATAACAAACAGAGTAACGTACAGCGACAGGACATCGGACAATGAAGACAGGACATCGGACAATGAAGACAGGACATTTACAGGACATAGGACAATGAAGACAGGACATTTACAGGACATAGGACAATGAAGACAGGACATTTACAGGACATAGGACAATGAAGACAGGACATCGACAGGACATAGGACAATGAAGACAGGACATAGGACAATGAAGACAGGACATCGGACAATGAAGACAGGACATCGACAGGACATCGGACAATGAAGACAGGACATCGGACAATGAAGACAGGACATCGACAGGACATAGGACAATGAAGACAGGACATTTACAGGACATCGGCCAATGAAGACAGGACATCGGACAATGAAGACAGGACATAGGACAATGAAGACAGGACATCTGACAATGAAGACAGGACATCGACAGGACATCTGACAATGAAGACAGGACATCGACAGGACATAGGACAATGAAGACAGGACATAGGACAATTGAGACAGGCTATAGTATACTATGTTCAATTCACAAAATAATGCGTAGGAAAATAAAAAGACAAGGAATAAAAGTAAAATAGAATAAAACAAAAACACTATTACTTGTAAGACAAGGTATATAACTTACCAAAGAGGAAGACGAGGTATAAGGCCGGTACGATTATATAAGGCACGTTCATGCCCAAAGTATTAATGATACCATACAACACATACAAGACATCTATATATGCACATGTCTGTTCTAAAACCATTTAATCATATAAAAGAGCAACATAGTTCATCGTAGTTTTAACCCCATGAAAACGGGAAATGACAAATACAAAATCACTTCAAATACACGGAAATATTGACATGCAAAGGATGAAATCTCACTAGATATGTCATGCTATAAACAAAGTATTTTACATAAAAAATTATGGGAGGACATCCATCTGATGAAAATTAGTTAGTAAAAGCGTTGTTCTGTTATTTACTGAAAGTTATATACGAGAGAAAACCTAGCGCTTTCGCTTCATAATGTCGTTTTTTTTTTGTTTTTTTTTATTCGTGAATTTTCTCCGACATACTGTGCTAAATTGTCCATTTCAACATAGAATATATATAGCACTGTGGTTTGTGGAGAACATCGATGATCAATAGAGCTGAGAAAGTCTAATGTATTGCAGGCACAATTTGATTATCCTCTTTTCATTCATTGATGATACAAGGCGTACTATACAATTTGGCATACTTCCTATCTCAGAATTTCATGCTTAAAATTGTACATATTCACATAAGTAATTATTAATACTAGAAGACCGTAATTTCTTCTAATACAAAAAACACCAAATTATAGTTCATGTTCAACTAGATCAGATATTTTTTTGGAAACGTACTGTTTTGGCGCGATGGAATTTCGGTGCTTTGGCACTTTTTGACAAATTAGCGCAATAATGCAAGTGTATATGGTAGATTTATGAATCCATTTTTTGTATTAAAACTAATACATTTATCGAAGACTTTAACCTGACCGTACCTTGACAAGCTGTCAGACTGGATACATCTAGTGGAAGTAACAGTGACTGGATACATCTAGTGGAAGTAACAGTGACGGGATACATCTAGTGGAAGTAACAGTGACGGGATACATCTAGTGGCAGTAACAGTGACGGGATACATCTAGTGGAAGTAACAGTGACGGGATACGTCTAGTGGAAGTAACAGTGACGGGATACATCTAGTGGAAGTAACAGTGACTGGATACGTCTAGTGGAAGTAACAGTGACTGGATACATCTAGTGGAAGTAACAGTGACTGGATACATCTAGTGGAAGTAACAGTGACGGGATACATCTAGTGGAAGTAACAGTGACTGGATACATCTAGTGGAAGTAACAGTGACGGGATACATCTAGTGGAAGTAACAGTGACGGGATACATCTAGTGGCAGTAACAGTGACTGGATACATCTTGTGGAAGTAACAGTGACGGGATACATCTTGTGGAAGTAACAGTGACGGGATACAGTGACTGGATACATCTAGTGGAAGTAACAGTGACTGGATACATCTAGTGGAAGTAACAGTGACGGGATACATCTAGTGGAAGTAACGGTGACGGGATACATCTAGTGGAAGTAACGGTGACGGGATACATCTAGTGGAAGTAACGGTGACGGGATACATCTAGTGGAAGTAACAGTGACGGGATACATCTAGTGGAAGTAACAGTGACGGGATACATCTAGTGAAAGTAACAGTGACTGGATACATCTAGTGGAAGTAACAGTGACGGGATACATCTTGTGGAAGTAACAGTGACGGGATACAGTGACTGGATACATCTAGTGAAAGTAACAGTGACTGGATACATCTAGTGGAAGTAACAGTGATTGGATACATCTAGTGGAAGTAACAGTGACTGGATACATCTAGTGGAAGTAACAGTGACGGGATACATCTAGTGGAAGTAACAGTGACGGGATACATCTAGTGGAAGTAACAGTGACGGGATACATCTAGTGGAAGTAACAGTGACGGGATACATCTAGTGGAAGTAACAGTGACTGGATACATCTAGTGGAAGTAACAGTGACGGGATACATCTAGTGGAAGTAACAGTGACGGGATACATCTAGTGGAAGTAACAGTGACGGGATACAGTGACTGGATACATCTAGTGGAAGTAACAGTGACGGGATACATCTAGTGGAATTAACAGTGACGGGATACATCTAGTGGAAGTAACAGTGACTGGATACATCTAGTGGAAGTAACAGTGACGGGATACATCTAGTGGAAGTAACAGTGACGGGATACAGTGACTGGATACATTTAGTGGAAGTAACAGTGACGGGATACATCTAGTGGAAGTAACAGTGACGGGATACATCTAGTGGAAGTAACAGTGACTGGATACATCTAGTGGAAGTAACAGTGACGGGATACATCTAGTGGAAGTAACAGTGACGGGATACATCTAGTGGAAGTAACAGTGACTGGATACATCTAGTGGAAGTAACAGTGACGGGATACATCTAGTGGAAGTAACAGTGACGGGATACATCTAGTGGAAGTAACAGTGACTGGATACATCTAGTGGAAGTAACAGTGACGGGATACATCTTGTGGAAGTAACAGTGACGGGATACAGTGACTGGATACATCTAGTGGAAGTAACAGTGACGGGATACATCTAGTGGAAGTAACAGTGACGGGATACATCTAGTGGAAGTAACAGTGACTGGATACATCTAGTGGAAGTAACAGTGACGGGATACATCTAGTGGAAGTAACAGTGACGGGATACATCTAGTGGAAGTAACAGTGACTGGATACATCTAGTGGAAGTAACAGTGACGGGATACATCTTGTGGAAGTAACAGTGACGGGATACATCTAGTGGAAGTAACAGTGACTGGATCTAAGTCTGCCGTCTTGAACTGAGTCCATAGTATTAAGACAACATGGGTGGCAGAGGCATAATTTGAAGTCCACTATTGTTAACACTTGACAAATGTTCAGGTTATTACATGTAATTAACTTATTCATTTCTAATTTTTGTCAACTTTTATTTATTTATAGAATATTCCGGTAATTTTGAATATGATCAAACTTAGTTCATCATAAATATTTTGTTGTAGTCATTACGGTTAAAGGGAGGTAACTCCAGACAACTTGGATAAGAATTTGATAGCGTATGGTCTAGTAAACCTTGTACAATGTCTCAATGTTGTTAGATCATATTATTTAGTCAAGATGTAAGCAGATCAGTAATTGTTTAAGATAAAAGTGCCCCAAACGAAGTAAAGGACGTATCGTTTTTACTCCGTTTCTTCTTCACATTATTGTGATTATTTTTGTTATTATTACAACTTAACAACTGATAATATGTAAACATTAACGATTCAAAATGCAGCGGTGTCGAAGAAATTATATGTATTCTGATATTTGCCTAGGGATCGGGTTACACGTGATGCAGAAGTCGGGGGAAAACGTGCGCTGGGAAACTGTTTTTGGAAATGTTTAGTATTCACTAGTTTTATCGAAAAAAAATATTAGATGAAACAAAATAAAAATAATTAATTAAGTGTTCCAGCTGTGCTTCGAACATTCAGTCATAACTAAGTTCCTTGTTAATCTATCAACCGTTTGCTCTACTTACAGTACAAAATCAGGTAACCTACAAATAATCCGGTATTTGGATCTACTCTTGTGAAAAGTCAAAATCTTCCGATGAATAACTTTTTTCCTGTGATGTTGCTAACTCGGTCTTTCACCAATAGCTGAGGGCCATCTAAATCGAGATCTGATTTTTGTGGCTTATATCTACAGATATTGAGGTGAACCTCAGTAATGCCTGATATGTCTGATGCTTTTACTACATTCTGGGTTCTAGATTTTAGCTAATTCATTTCATTAGGCAAGCTGTTTGCTTAATTAAAATCAAAATTAAAAGTTTTGCCTTTTTGTTTTTAATCTTTATTCACTTTCATGACCTTTCTGTCCCAGAGTGGACCCCTCACCATGAATTTGAATTCCCCCAGGGCTTACTCCATGTTTTTTGCCTTGGTTTCTTCCCATTTCTCTTAATTTATCTGCCTCTCTTTTTGTGTCTTGTCGTGTATAATTCTAAGATTATGGAGAGGTTCTCCGGCCAGCCTTCAGTGTGTCCGGTTAGCCTACAGTGTGTCCGGCTAGCCTTAAGTGTATCCGGCTAGCCTTAAGTGTGTCCGGATAGCCTTGAATGTGTCCGGCTAGCCTTAAGTGTGTCCGACTAGCCTTTAGTTTATCCGGCTAACATTGAGTGTGTCCGGCTAGCCTTAAGTTTATCCGGCTAGCCTTAAGTTTGTCCGGCTAGCCTTAAGTTTGTAAGACTAGCCTTAAGATTGCACAGCTAGCCTTAAGTTTATCCGGCTAGCCTTGAATGTGTCCGGCTAGCCTTAAGTGTGTCCGACTAGCCTTAAGTTTATCCGGCTAGCCTTGAGTGTGTCCGGCTAGCCTTAAGTTTATCCGGCTAGCCTTGAGTGTGTCCGGCTAGCCTTAAGCTTGTCCGGCTAGCCTTGAGTGTGTCCGGCTAGCCTTAAGCTTGTCCGGCTAGCCTTAAGTGTGTCCGGCTAGCCTTGAGTTTGTACGACTAGCCTACAGTGTGTCCGGCTAGCCTTACGTTTGTCCGGCTAGCCTTAAGTGTGTCCGGCTAGCCTTAAGTTTGTACGGCTAGCCTTAAGTGTGTCCGGCTAGCCTTAAGTTTGTACGACTAGCCTTTATTTTGTACGGCTAGCCTTAAGTGTGTCCGGCTAGCCTTAAGTTTGTACGACTAGCCTTTATTTTGTACGGCTAGCCTTAAGTTTATCCGGCTAGCCTTGAATGTGTCCGGCTAGCCTTAAGTGTGTCCGACTAGCCTTAAGTTTATCCGGCTAGCCTTGAGTGTGTCCGGCTAGCCTTAAGCTTGTCCGGCTAGCCTTAAGTGTGTCCGGCTAGCCTTGAGTTTGTACGGCTAGCCTTAAGTTTATCCGGCTAGCCTTAAGTGTGTCCGGCTAGCCTTAAGTTTGTACGACTAGCCTTAAGTTTGTACGGCTAGCCTAAAGTGTGTCCGGCTAGCCTTAAGTTTGTCCGGCTAGCCTTAAGTGTGTCCGGCTAGCCTTTAGTTTGTCCGGCTAGCCTTAAGTTTGTAAGACTAGCCTTAAGTTTATCCGGCTAGC